GAGAGAGAGAGGGAGCGAGAGTTGAAAAAAACTGGGGAACTGCACGAGATACATTTATTTTATTTCATTCTATGAATGAAAAAAATAATAATCTATACATATTTGAAGGCTTTGAAGTACATGCTAGCTCAGTCCAAACTGGAATTGTATGTAAAAGTAAAAAACAAAAAGGTGTAATATTGTTATAAATAAACAAATGGAATCGTATCTTTGTGAATTGAGGGGGAAAAAAAAAAGTTCAGCAATGTTGTCATCCCAAAAATGTATAAACTGATATGAAAAGGTGGATCTTGTGCATTCATATATTACCAGGACTGTCACACGAAATATGTAACAAAGAAAGTGCAATACGTCGAATTCAAGTTCATGATGGCAGCAAACAGATATATAACATATGAGTGCGGCCGTGCATTTCGAAGTACGCAAGTTATGAACTCACATCGATCACGAGGATGCCCTGCAAGTGTTATTGACCTGGCGTCATCATCTGACGGTGATGAGAACATGGTACCGACAGGGGAAGAGAGGGGCGATGACCCAAATCCAACACACATTCAACAAACCGTCCACGCGGGGACAAAAAGTGAACCACACAATGAAAATGTTCGTGATGATGAATTCGACAACAGAATCCCAGGTGATAATCAAAATGTTATACATTTTTACTCTGCACGAAAATTAGCGCCCATGATGTTATCGGCCAGAGGGGGAGTAGGATTATCTCTCACAGATATGGATGCATTACTTGCGATAGTCCGCAATCCAGAATTCGATCCTCGCTCGCTACCTTTTCGCACCGGTCAAGAGTGTCTAGCTTGGGCAGGTCGACAAGCAGGGTTAAAAGCATGGCAATAAATTGATTTGAGGAAGGATGATTGGCCACAAGGTGCACACGCAAAGTTGTGGTTCCGTGATTGGAACTCAACTTTCTTGTCGTTACTAGAACGTGGATTGAGATCGAAGAATAAATTACTCTTCGAAGTCCCTCATGACACGGATTGTAATAGTCCAATAACATGTGCAATAACGGCATCGATGTGGAGACACGTGCAAAATACTATACGCACCGCCAAGGGGTTGGACATGAGTGGGAAACAAAGGTATGTAGTTCCTTTTACGTTATACTCTGACAAGACACATGTGGATGGCAGAATGAAACAAATTGCATATCCACTAATGATGTGTCTTGCCGACAGAGCAACAGAGGCCACACTTATAGTGTACTTGCCAGTTCTGACACACAGGCCAAAAGACGTCGGTTGGGTTCAACAATCCTCACAGTTTAGAAAACGGAAAAACATAGTATTCCATGAAGCTTTGTCCATGATTTTACAGTCTGCAAATGATGCATCACACGAGGGCATCACCGTTCGAACATACGACCTCGGTGAAATCACTGTGCATCCTTTTCTTCTGAATTATATCCAAGATTATCCAGAGAGGTGTGCGCTTGCTGGCGTGAAATTTGGTCGCTGGGAGAAAGTGAATGATCGACAGCTCACCAGTGTGATTTTTACTGATATTATAATCGATACTGCACACATAGTTCCATATTTCAAGAAGCCCCAATGGGGAACAGGACGCTTTGCTGTGCAAAAGGAAGACCAATTCTACGTTAATAAGTACACACTGTGAGGAATTTCAAAGTCTCATCGTATGCGTGAAGGTATAATTTGTAGAAGAGAGAGAATATGATATTCCTCATGTTTTTTTTTTTTTTTTTTAGTGCTCACAAACATGCATACAAAGACACACACCAGGTCCTCTTCTTATTTTCCTCAAACAACGACACTTATTCTAACTGTTGTATGAGAGCTTCGAAAATGTACCAAATATTATAAAAGAACAACATGTCACCGATAAGTTCTTTATGTATTTAAAGTTTTATTTGTGAACAATGAATATAGTGGTCGTAAGTGAAAAAATGTGGAAAACATAATCAATAGTGTGTAAGTTAGAAGAACTATTCAAAGGTAATTGCCGAGTGCCCTGTCTCTCTCTCTCTCTCTCTCTCTCTCTCTCTCTCTCTGTAAATGGAAACATGCTGACCCTCGCGGAGCGGCTGGTGGCCTTAACCACAAGACAATAACAACATGTCCAGGTTCACGAACGTCATGTCCATCTTTCTGAAATAGGTTATATCGTTCTCATATGCTATCAACACGTTCAGTATGAGAAAAACATGTTCTTTCTCAGAGAGTGATGTGAATGGACTTGTAAACAATTTCTTATGTTAGTGATATTTGTTGAAACCACGTTATTTCTTTCTACTCGTGCTCTCTTTCTCTCACACATACGCACACATAGATATGCGTACATATACCAGACAATTCATGAGATTACATTATAATGTTGTCATAAGGTTGTGTATTTGACTGGTGCGCCCTTTGTTTTCAGAAAAATATGTCACAACTTGCATGGAGCAGAAAGAAGACCCAGAATACACCACGCAAGGCTTCTGCACCATTTATTGTCCCGCGTTAAATTACGGGAAGGGGTATGCAAGATGAAAATGATGGTCAAAGTGAGCCAAACATGACGAATAGAGTGAAAGAGGTGATCCAGACACGAGCAGCAGTTGCAAAGGCTTCAAAAAGGAATCGCGGTGTGGATGCCGATCTGACAAAAGAGAGCGAAGACTATGATGAAGATCCGTTGGACAATTTTCAGTTTGCCGCCTCCAGCAAAAGGAAACATGACACTGGGACAGTAGACACGTTGGAGCAAAGAAAAAGTGTAATCCTTGAAAATAAGTGGTATGCAAATGTATATGCCGTTTGTCCGTTTGGCGGAAAATTTTGGAACGACACAAGGAGAATGCAATCGTCAACAGTTGACAAACAAAATGTCACAAACCTCAAGGGCAAAATGCAAATGGACAGCTCAACTGTTGAAACAAGCCACCGCGATAATGTGAACGAAGATGAAAAGGTAGATTCGAAGAGTTCAGATTGCGAAATGGACGATATAAGTCTTGTGCCTTTTCAGTTCAATACTTTTTGGGGTGAACGCATTGTTGTTCATGGATTTCATATCGCTAGTTTGAAACCGAACGGCTGGTTGCATGGAACCATTATCGATTTTTTCTTGTAGTCAACTTTGGAGGATGCATCACAAAGAACAACGAAAAGTCCCGTTTTTGTGTGTACATGGTTCTAGCACGAATTGATACAAGCGAAACAACAAGTGGACAAGATAAAATCGGACTGTGGAGATAGACTGAAGAAAGGGAAAGAAAAACGTTTGATTTTTTCGTTTGCATCCAAGATTTGGGATA